AGCCTCCTCCTGGGCACTGGGATTGTCTCACCTCCTCTGCCCTGGGAGCGGTGGAATGGCGGCCAGGGAGCCTCCTCTTGGGCGCTGGGATTGGCTTACCTCCTTTGCCCTGGGTGTGGTGGAATGGCAGCCAATGAGGCTCCACCTGGGTGCTGGGATTGGCTCACCTCCTCTGCCGTTCGAGTGGTGGAATGACAGCTGGGGAGCCTCCTAGGTGCTGGAATTGGCTCACCTCCCCTGCCCTGGGAGCGGTGGAATGGCGGCCGGGGAGCCTTCTCCTGGGCGCTGGGATTGGCTCACCTCCTCTGCCCTGGGAGTGGTGGAATGGTGCCCGGGGAGCCTCCTGTCTTAAAGCTTTTTAATACAGTTGAATCATCTGGTTGGAACCAGCTTGATGGAAGCTGTGTTTTTAACGTGGGCATTGAAAAGGGTCTGAGCACAAGCTGATTGTTGGTTTTTAGCCTTCTGGTGGGATAAGACTGGCAGCTCCTACATAGAACTTATTGATTCCACTTCTTTGCATGTGGCAGAATTCTATTTCATTGTACTTAAAAAAGTAGTAGTTTATTTATTTCATAAAGATCTCCAGGTAAGGAGGATCTTTGTGGTAACCCCAAGTAAATGATGGTTTGAGGAAGGAAAAGTGTGTCACAGAAGTGTCCTTTATATTTATTCTCTACCTTTTCAGCACATTTCAGAGGGAAAGAATCAGAGAAAAGATGAGAGTTGACTCCTGACCCTTTCTGCTGCACTCAAAGAATCTTTTTCTTTTATTGAGAAAGCAGGCCAATCCTTGAATTCTATCTCTAGCTTCCCTGTCACCACACAGCCTGGAAATCACTAGCAGTTAAAAACTCTGATGAGGAGGAGTGATATGTGTAAGAGATCAGCCTGGCCTGGAGCTGTAAGAAGGATAATGGATGGCAGCCCAGCTTTTACCCATAATTTGCATACACAGAAATGTGAAGCAGATCTGTCAGGGAAATCAGCTGCAGATGTTTAGCTTAGCACTTGATGGAAATGCAGTGCTTTTTCTTCTGCTGCTCCTCTTGTCCTAGGAAGGCAGCCTTGTGTTAGAGATGTGCCATTTGTGTTTAATTATATACCATGGTCGTACTGTGCACACAGTGCTATCCTAGTTTTCCCTTTAATTGTACCATGAAAAGGGCTTTGCAGGTTGAGGAGGGAATAAGAATTGGAGCTTTTAAAGGCTGAGTGCACAAAATATGAAGGATTTTCTAGATTCATCAATAACTACCTGCCATGTTTCAGGCTACCAAGGTAAACAATGTAGTGACTTGCTCCACTGAGCCTGTGGTGTTTGTCATTTGGGAGATGCTGGTCATTTGTGGCTCCATAGAAGTTTATGGCAGCATACAGTTGTATCTTTTATTGTTTTCACCCCAACTAAGTCTTTTCTGGGTGGGGTAGGGGAGTAGAGATGGGGTTGGGGGGATTGAGCCCAGGGCCTCATGCAGGCTGACAGTTACATCTCCAGCCCTCACCCTGACTAGAAAAAATCTTATCCATTAGCTATGTTCCTGATACAAAGAAAATCATGCAGTAGTTAATGATAATGAGGAGGAGAGGCAAGGTACAGAATAAAAATTATTTTTAGGAGTAATAATAATCAGGAGAACCATAAAGATTAATTTGAGAATCTAGGGTAGCATAGTTAACCATGTGCAATTGTATGTATTTTTTACGCACTTATCTGTAATTCGCCCTCAGATATCTTTATTAATAATCACCTGGAGTAAATAGAATTAATGATATGGAAGCTGTATCACAGTTCTATTCCAGATTGTCTGCCCCTATTGTCAGGATTTCCTCATTCTTAAGAGTGTTGATTCCCAGCCCAGTCCAGTTTGAGGTAAAGAAAGGGCTGTGGATGTCCTTAATAGAAGATAAATTCCTGAATCATTCAGTCAAAATGGAGGTCAGTGAATAGTAAGAAAGAAAGTACAGGGGAGAGGTTGAGTCAACAAACCATTGTGGTCCTGTCCATGATGTTGATGAAGGCAGTGTCCACTTAGACAGGAATACCCTTTGCTGTCACCATCATGTTAGGTGTGTGTGAATTGTGTGGGAGGTTGGAAAGACAGGCAGAAGAATGCTGAGACAGCCCTGCCCCACCTTTCCCCACGGGCTTTCAAATGCTCACTCCTCTGGGCTTGTCTCTGCCACCAGGTATGGGGCTGATGTTACCAGGAAATCACTTCCCGTTAGAATAGAGCTATATCAGTCAGACCTAGTTCTTACATACAGCGGCCATACGCCTTGAAGTTTGAAAAGACTCCCCACCATTATGTCTTGGAGGAAAAGGTTGGGAAAAGTGCTCAAATAATTTTCAGGGGCACTCATTACTTTTTAAAAGTCTGAATTCATCCTAGATCCCTGTAGACTTGACTTCAGGGCCTTTGCTTTTCTGTATCTCTGTCTTAGAAGCTCCAGGTCTAGAACACTGGTGCTCAACAGAAATTTTCTCATCCTTTTCTTATTGGCCTGCTTTCAAACAATTTCTAATACAAATGGAAAGATTTCCATAAAAGAGATTAAACAACCTCCCAAGCTCACTCTTTTTTGTGTTTCACATTTCTCATAAGATGTCCTCCTTTTACTTCTTTTGTCCTAAGTGAGGTTCAGGAATAGATAATTATAATCTTCATTCTTATTCTCCTTTCAAAAGAATCCAAGTCATATTGGCTTGGGGTGCTTGGTTGCTTTCCTAACCTTAACATGCCAGCTTATTCCCTGTGGAATCAGAAATGAAATACTGTATCATGTGTCCACTACGCTGATGTGGGACCCTTCTCAAAGTTAACATCTTAACAAGCCCTGTCATTTCCTCATTTTTCAGAAGAACTTTCTCTGGTGACTAATTAGCCTGGTCTGTTGAAACTCGAATTGATCCTTTTGTCCAGAGCCAGAGGAAGGAGAATATGCCAAGATGGTGTTTCTTTGGACCATTTACAGTGAGGCTTTGCTAAGGAGGCCCTCCTAGATTTGTCCTTGGGAATGCTAGCAGACTGTTCCTCCATCCAAAGAGGCAAAAATGCCATTTAGTATCATGACTTGACTTTCTATTCACAGTTTCTGGCTCCCAAAGAAAAACCAGATGAAGACTCAGCAGCTGTATTGGAAGAAGGTGGTGATGTGGACGATTTAGTAAGTACTTTTAATGTATATCAGGTACTCTACAGACCCATGCAGCCACAAAAGCTGCTTATCATAGACTTGTTTCTTATTTGTGTTTTAATTTCTAACACACCAGAAGCTCCTTACACTATTATTTATTGCCATTATAAATTTAACCAGACAGGTAATTTTGTAATGGAAATCTTTGTATTCTGTGGTTTCAACTACATTGTTCATTCAGATTAATCCTTACTATTGAAGGGCTAAAAAGAGCTAGAAGGGCTAGTACCAAAATGTTATAATTTACAGAAACTGCTCTTAATCAAAAATAAGCAATACATCATGCAATTTGTGTGGGTTGGCAAATAAAAATAGCTTTTAAAAAGCCAGTTTGGTTTAAGCGTTCTCAATTAATATAAACAAACTAAACTGATAGGCATTTGAGGATTTCTGGGTTCGTTATACCATGTGTAAGTACCTGGGAAACTGTGTGAACGTTGGCTTTCTCATCCATCTTTCTGTTTGGAAACTTCTTCCCTTTAAGCCTGATAACTGTGCAGCAAAAACTACATGCTGTACTTTTACCCTTTTTGTGGAGAAGTTCTTAGTACTGAAATGAGGAAATATTTGGTATTTAATTCCTAAAATAGCAGTGAGTAGTGTGCAAGTCCATACATACTTGCTTTTCAGCACACTCTCTGTCATCAGAGCAGCATTGGTCTGCAGGTGCCCTGGTTTCTTTCTAAATATGTTCTTGTTTGCAGCTGGACATGATGTAGGTCACGGACATGTGTCGAATCAGAGTTGCTATATCCTTGGCACTGAGAGCTCCGATAGAACAACCTGGAGGAGGCTGCCCCGGGAACCAGAAGCTTTGGAGATCATCCCAGAAGTGAATCACCCTGAGTCTCTGGGAAGGGAATGCACATATGTTTAGACCCTGTACAAGTTTATAAAGTTATTGTTATTTTCTGATTGGCATGTTATTTCTTTTTGGTCTTATTCTTCTTCATATATTATGAACATGCTTTGAAATTTCTAGAAAATAGATTTCATCCTGAGCTGCTGTATTGGTGAGGATTGCAGCCCTTGTGAAGTGATTAGTGTCTCATCTGGAGCCCTGGCATGGTCATTGGTGAATTTCTTACCCCTTCCCAGGAGCCCTTTGTCTGATCCTCTAGTGACAATACCAGTTTATGCTGATGGAGCAATAGTGTTTATTTCCTACCAACAGGTAGCTGAGTTAGGGAAATCATGGGTAAGGGCTGACCCATTTCTCTTTTTAGTTAAGTCTTTTAATCATCACATTACCTTTGTCCATATACAGGTGATTTTCTTTCACCAGAGTAGGAAGAGGAAGAGTTTCCCAGCATAAGCATTTTAAGCAGGGAGTAGTGATAATGCTTTAATGAAAAAAAGTCCTCTATTGGCGCAACCTCTACCATACCAGTGTACCTTGGAGAAAAAACTAAAACAGAAATTCACTCCCAGTGATTAAGATTATATCATCCTACTACTCTCTATGTACAGACCTCAGAAAGTTTGGTAATGTTAAAAGACTTCTTCCTTAATTTTCCAGTCTTTCCCATTGCTACCTAAGTTAGATTTCATATCTCTCTTGATAATGTTTTCTTTCTGAAAATGAGAAAACAGTAAAGCCCTTATTTTCTTTTTTCCTGTTCTTAAACTTCTTATTGCCCAATTGCTTATATCCCCAGCATCCCTATAAATGGTTACAGAGAGACTTGACTTCATCTTGCAGATGTCATGTTAAAGAGGTTAAAGGCATAAATAATTCATTCCTCTGTGAATTGCTATTGACTGTCTTAAAAACAAACAAACAAGCTTTCAGTGTGTGCAAGGAATGAAAGACCCTCCTTGCATTGATTGAAAATGGATCTCCAAGATGGAGCATCATTTCTGCTGAGGGGAGATGAGTGATTTACTTTGGACCTCTAAGATCTTCCCCTCGATGTTCTATACTCTTGAATCAAACTTGCCATGCAGGCATCCAGTTAAAGCAACCCCAACAAAGGATGCCATGTCAGACTGTCCAATTGGATAGCTAAAGCCCAGGGGATGTTTGTGACTTGAACAAAATGAAGGCATTCTGAGAATCACAGAGTGAAAACTTTGTTCTCTAAATTGTGCCATATTTTTGTTGGATCCTCCTGGCAGTATGTATCACCTCAGTAAGTATGGCCACAATAAACACGCCCTGTCTTTGGCAATTTAAGGAATTCCCTTTGAAAGCATGAATCTTTTAAAAAAGTCAGGTTAGACCTACTGATACTTTCTGATTTAGGTTGTATGTGGCAAGAAGAAATGAGAAAGAAAAAGGACTAATTGGCCATGTAATTTCCATATCCATTGCATATAGACCCAGTATATGTGCTCTGTAGACTTCATCATAGCATAATATTGATGAAGGAATTTTGAATGACTATATCAGGGTCCCATTTCCTTGAAATGGGATATGCAGATCTACAGAAGTCCCAGATATTCTACTGATATCTTGCCTTGGAAAGCAGCAAGCCCTGAGCTGTCATCAGTCAGCTACAGGTTAGTCCTTAGAAGTCCAGTAGGCCTGCACATGAGAAGTTTGTGTGTAGACAGACTCTAGTCTCTGTCCCCTTTGGTCTCCTACTGAAATTTATTGACTTAGAAGACATAGATAAAAGGAGGTGACTCACCTCCCAGTCATAAGGCATTTAGCCCTATGCATTTCCTCCTTGAGGGTAAGGGTTGTCTCATTGTTAACCCCTATTATAACTGGGTGTGATGGTGCATACCTGTAATCCCAGCTGCTCAGGAGGCAGCAGCAGGAGGATTGAAAGTTTGAGGCCAGCCTGCGAACTTAGCCAAACCTTGTCTCAAAATAATTTTTAAAAGGGCTACAGATGTACCCCAGTGGTAAAGTGCCTGCCTAGCATGTGCAAGGCCCTGGGTTCAATCCCCAGGACCGCCAACAACAACAGAAAGAACCATTGCTTTAAATATTGGCTTTTAATCCTTTACCAGTTAAATTACAAATAAAATTTACAATGTTGGAAAATTATTTAGAAAACCATGTTGGGGTTAGGCAATTTTTTGTTTTTGTTTTTTCTCCAATTCCAGGATGATTTTAGAAATAAATGGACACAGATCTATATTTGTATTTTGAACATGTGCAGTACTAATCAGTCTTTGCAGCCAATTTTGATTCAGCTAGGAGATACTCTGGTTTCACATCCTTCCTGCTTCTCTCCCTCAGGTATTCTAGGTTCAAAACACAAGGTGCTGGCCCATCAGAGAAGATAAAATGTGGGGACACACTGTGGGCGGCAGAGAGAAGACTAGGCTAGTCTAGATTCCAGGCTCAAGTTGCTTCGTGGCCTCTGTGAGGATGCTGTACCTCCCCAGCAGCGTCATAGGCTTATTATAAGCTACAGCACGGCCTGAAGTACCCTGTAGACTCTTAAGATGCTTTCCACCGATAAGCTGGTTTTATGAGTGCTACAAATAGAAAGTATTGGCAGGACATACAGACTTTTAAAATAGGTCTACTTTCTTCAGTATCTTTATTTCCCTCTTAGAACTTTGAGTCTTCCAGTGACAAGTTTCATAATTTTACCTATTGCTGTTAGACTTGCATTTGCTTATCTAGTTATTGCCTGAAAAATTAGTCTCTGTTTGATCAAAGGAAGTGGATTAGGACCTGGAGTTGGTTAGGGTGACCATGCATCCCTGCTTACCAGGGAATCGTCCTGGCATAATTAAATTAATATTGCTCTTTCACTCTCAGAAATATGCTTGAGCAGATTATAGATTATATGGCCACTCTAGGTTTTGAATATATTGTAAATATTGCATCCGGGACCCAAGGAATGGCTGTGTGCCACCATGCCCCTCTCTTGGTAACTCTGTAGAGCTAAATGCACAAGGATCAAATTACAAAATAGAAATCAGCATACTCCTCTCATATTAGCCTGTTATAAAGATCTTTGGAGCAGCTAGGTTGTAGTTTATGGCTTAGATTTTGAGTCTGCCTTCTACATCCAGACCTTATCACCAACCGCTGGCAAGCCTGAGATGGCAAAGGCTTCTTACTGAGCCTACCCAGAAGGAGTAGATCCTGGCTTCTTGCCTGCCTGGAAACATGGAGCAGAAGTGGAAATGTATGTAGTGTTTGACACACATATAACCTAACTTGGCCCAATCACCAGTCATATCTGTATGGTCTTGTAGCAGGTGGGGAATATTAGGTGGGGCTGGGGAAAGGGGCTTCCCCAGCTCACACTTTACCTCCATGTAAGTGTGTCTGCCTAATCAAAAGAAGAGTTACTAATCCCTGCTTAGTGTTGGTTTCCTGTAGTCATTTTGGAAAGGAAGGAAATGCTCCTTTTCTCCATCTAAACATCATCCAAGACTGGACTTCCTTTAGAGAGGCATAATGGCATAGTGTTTCAAAGCATCACCTGGATGTTAGATATGCCACGCTTTATTAAATCTCACTGTCAGTAGCACTTAACAGCTGCATGGTCTTATCAAGTCCTTTAACCTCTGTAAGCAACAAAATAATGAAATCTCTTGCATTTTGTCTGTGAATACAATGGCTTGGGAGAAGACAGAATCTTCTCAAAGGTGATTCAGAGATGGTTTTTCAGGAGCTGCTTGGATAGTGGGAACAGGTGCTTCCTAGAATGAAAAGGAAGCAGCCCTAGACACATGTCCCATCCTCAGCTCACGTTGCACATTTCCCAGGCCCACCTGCCTTGCACTGCAGCACTGTGGGGCAGTTGAGGGTACTGATGGGGGCTGTGGCAGACCTGAGATGGAGTCTTAGCATGGGTGAGTGTCTAGATTTCTCAGAGCCCCTCCCTGTTACCTTTTCAGTATGCTGGAGGTTGTAACCATCCCCACAGGGTTAACATTAAGATTAATGAGTGCATATTCTTAACAGCATAGTTTGTTGGTAAACCAGTATGGGAAATAAAGCTTACTTTGCAGCAGAATTCCTCCTTAAGAATGGATCTGGATTCTTGGGTAAATACTTCTGACTACTACTTGGAAGGTGGGGGAGGTGGCAAAGTAGGGAGAGGGTTTTGGAAGGAAAGACAGCAGGAGAAACCAAGTGGCCCCAGGGGTGGTCTGGCTGGTTTCCAGCCTTGAGTTGATGAAGTTTATATCATAAATGAAGGCAGAGCTGAAGGTGGGTGAAGAGAGAGAAGAGTGATGGGCTAGTGGCAGAGGACAACGTCTTTGGGGAGGTGAGAAGCCCAGATGTCGATGGACAGCCTATTCTTAATTTGTTCTGGGTGGGATGTGAATCTTTCTCTCCCCACTGAATATTCAGCACAACGTCCATTTCTCAGCAATATGTTTGGAGTTGGTTATTTTAGGGGATGTGTATCGGCGCTGGAAATTGAGACTTGTTTCAAGGAGGCCAAGAGTAAAAGCAGGCTGCATAGGGCGTCCAACCATCTCTGTGTTATGTGGATGCTTTGCTGGTTGAACCTGAAATTGGTCAAGGGTATTTGAACTCTGCTTTTCTGTAGAAGCCCCTGTGGTTCCATCTACAGCCAGAATCAAGCATCTTTGTAACTTACCTTTCACAGTTAAGAACAAAAATGAACTCTGTGAAGATAACAGCTCAGCCAGCAAAGCATAAAAGGTAGCATGTTTGGGACATTTGTCCTTGCTCAGAATTTTAAAATTGCATTCCAAGATATTGATTTGAGTTTGATTCAGTGAGCACAAACTGGGGCAAGATTGAATACTCTCCTAAATCACACGTATATTTCATGCAGCCATATTGTTTTTGTTATTTATTTCAAGGAAGCTGGATCTGTCAGTGGTGCTAAGATTACCCTGCTAAGGGATCTTCTCTGATAATTTTGAAACAGATTTCTCTCTGCCCTCCCACTGGAGTCAGAAACAGTCATCCTGCCCAGAAGCAGAGGGATAGACATAGTGAAATCCTGGCAAATCTAGAT